TTTAGGACTTATTAACTCCTTTGAAGTCCTTTAAGCAATGTGCTTCGACTCGCTAAGAAGCAATTGTCAAACACTTTTTGATGTGTAGTGATAGCCTTAGTTGAGGGGTACTCGCCACTGTTTTAAACGCTAAGTAAGCAAAATGTCATTTAAGTAGTCTCTGAATTTTGTATGATCCCAAAAAAAACGAACTGAATTTTTCCACAATTTTATCTTACAGCATAAGATGGTCATAGTTTCTAAACTACCTGAAGGCTTCTGACATGGTTTATTGTTTTCCTTACATATGAGAAGTGCATTTCGAAGTATTATGAGCATAATAATGGTAGTATATTCTCAAATGACTAACGTTACACGAGGCGTGCCAGTTTACAGGCTAGGCGCAGTTATTACAATTGATCGATCACTTGGTGGTTATAAGTGTCATGTGTGTCAAATTCTTCTTAGCACAGATCGAATGCTATGGATCGAGTTATAATGTGGCCACCAGTCCGGGTGACTCGACATTGCGTGCACCATGTTGAGACTAAATGGTGGTTGGAGGTATTCAACAGGAAACCCTGGAATCGGGTTTCGTGCTACTTGACACTCGTCAGCAAGGTGTACCTGTACTGGTGGCCACATTACAACTCGATCGGTGGCACTCGATCTGCACCAAAAAGGACTTAACACACAGGACATTGATCGCCACCAATTGATCAATCAATTGTGATTACATCTCATTCCTACAGGAGGTCGGTCGCGATCCGGATAGCTCAGTGGTAACGTCTCTGACTGTGAAGCTGGGTGACACCAGATCGAATCCGCCAGGGGACACCAGTTCCTTCAAGACAACAGGTACACCTTGCTGACGAGTGCCCAGTAGCCCGAAACCCGGGTCCAGGGTTTCTTGTTGACTACCTTCAACCACCATCTAAGGTGCCGTTATTACAAATGCTACAGGCTTCACTGCAAAAAGTTACGCAGGTGTGTTATAAAGCACGCTGATTATATAATCCAGGGAATAACATTTCTCGTATACGAATACAAATAATGTTAGTAAGACTGAAATTGTACACATAATCGTTGGCGCCCTTTATGGAGATTGCGTTACATCGTGCCACTGATGGTCAAGAATGAATCCACGTAAAGTTGAGAGCTTTTAGAACTCAAGTTTATATACTTCTGGAATATGTGAGGTCAGAAACTGACTATGAGGAGAAATGTCTACAACTCTTGATTCGTGTGTATTCTAAGAGACGTTAGGAAAACCAGAAGGTCCCGTTCGAAACTGACAGAATCAGATATCTTAAGATCAACAATAACGTCTCAATTCCTAAATATTCTATGAATCTTTCTGGACATCAAAATGAACGGTTAAGCAAGAGTGCTACAAAATCATGGAACTGCGGAATTAGCATTGACTTATTGAGACCATAAATTATATTACGTCGAGAAGAAACACATCGGCAATCCATTACCACTTCACACTTATACTTACGCGCGTATGTGATCCCAATTAATCACAAAGTATACTTGCTATGCACAATCAACCAGTCGAATAATCACGTTTACCAGGAAATTCGTCGCTTAATCTCATAGTTTAAGTCAATAAACACTAACGAAAGTTTCATATTTTCCCACAATATCAGAAATACAATTCGTAAACCATCAACACTTTCGTGGCCCGATAGTTGATTTTTAATATGGACAGCCAAATTTTATATTCCCTGTGGAAAGAGGAATGCAATGTGATAAGTGCGATAAGTGATTCCACAATATGTGCACTCATTCAAATCCCACTGTATACAGAAAATGCTCAAAGCCTAACTCCCATTAGCTCGTAATATTCTGTTGTTCAAGCAAGACATTACTAACCCAGGAGACAATAAGCCTTCTGGTGTTGGTCGGCAAAATTTTGATCATGGCTGGACTAATAACATGGGCACTGATAGCGAAAAGTGTTGCAGTGTGGTAAGTGCTAATATGCGACAATCCAAACACCCGACCGAACAACATGCAATAGAGAAATCTCTCTTGAAACAATTAAAAAGTGAAACAACACTTGGCATTGATGGTTATGCTGCTATAGCAACAAGTGCTGACTTAGATAAAACCATCTTTTCCGAAGGGTCCCTATGTGGATGCTCGGACTTTTCGGAAATGGCAGATAGTGCGAAGACAATGGAGAAGAGAACAAGATACTCACAAACAACATCCGTCTAGTTGACAAGTCTTCGGTACGCTCAGTCTATGCGTCGAACGTTACTCTACCTAAGTTCCAAAGTGAGACGATATTTAACCCTGACCTAACTAGAAAACGTCTGATTTTATCGAATAATGTTTTGGGTAATTCACTCGAACTAAACGATTGTGTTTCAAGAACAACCGAGGATAAGCGCATAGCTGATCGCGAGCAGGAAATGACATCATGATTAAAAACCGTGAACATGACTTTCAAATTAGTAAAATCCGTCCCTAGTCTAATTATTGAGAATCTGAGAGTCCAAAGATAATGAGTTTTCCAAAAGGCATGAACGCAACTTGGATTTAGTTGAATCTGCAAATAGAAATGTACTGCAAAAATAGGTTTCAGTACATATCACGAAAGTAATAAGACTTGGTGAGTTAGTTGGAGGTGACATTCAACAAAAAGGTCTTAAAGTTAGTTCTCGGAAATTATGAGGAAAGAGATGTCATACTGAGTAACCCATACAAAACTCGTAATTCTAATGTTCATATCTGACTTAACAGGCAGCTTGATGATGGAATCAAGTGGAAAAATGCCCTTACCGGGTCAAAAACTCGAAAGTCAAACAAACCTTAAGATTCAGGTCTTTCGGAAGTACTGTCTTCCAAGACCTGTATAGAAAGAATGAGTGATTCTCAAAACGCATTAACTGTGGGCTACACGAAACCTCGTAATCTTAGAAATAAAATGATCGAGTTACATCTGATAGCGGATGAATTAGCCCACCATGTGATTGTTGGCACAGAAACGCGGCTCACCATATATGCAAACTCTTTCCTCATCACTGATGATTACATCTGCATCACAAGTGATATAGTCATAAATCTCAAAGAGTCAGAACACTACATTTTAGGGATTATTTTCATGTACAATCGAACACAACAGAGGCTCGTGATAGTGGTACATGTGAAGTAATTTGTTGTAAGGTTAAGTCTAGACAAAGGTGAAAGGCTATGGGAGGAATATACCTTAGTCCTCGTTGTCTTTTTTATGACATTATCTTAAGCCATATCCGTTTTTGGAGTATTGTCGAATATTGGAGATTTCAGCACGCCACATGTTAACGGGATAGAGCTTGCAACTTCAGGTGGATAATTTGATAGCAATCTGTTATCAACCATTATTCAGTGTACACTTATACAAAATATCGCTAAACCAACATATATTGACTTGGAACATGAACAGTCATTGCTGGACCTTGTATTTACACACCAAAGTGACGATGTTATCGACATTTGGCGCCTTCCCCTGCTAGAAAATGGTGATCACGTTGTACTTTACCTTAGATTTTTGACACATGGTATACAGTACGTATCTGCTTCACCCTATCCCAACATCTGGAGAGTTAGCATTCCGACAATTAGAAACTGTAAAATCTCAAAAGAGTAGTCGGATAACGCAAATGGATCGATCAAAGACAAGTAGGACACGTTTAAGGCTACATTTGATTCTGTAACATTACCGTACATCCCACGGTCAACACGTAGGCTATCACATTGCCCTCCATCGGCTAATAATGAACACCAGAAGCTGCTGAAGCGTAAGAAACACTTCTAGACCTTATCTTTGTCAACAGGACATGAATCATATAAGTGTGGGTACTGAAAAATTAGAAATATTTGTAAAAAGACCGTAGTTAGTGCCGCACCATTTAAGAAATAGAGTAGGTATATGATAGCCGTGTTTGTCTGAAACAGCTGTCCTTTGTACATTAAACCAAGAATAAAGCGTAGTGATGGCTAAGTTACTAAGTCACATAGAATCATACAATCTGTTAACCCCCTAGCAACACGGGCATCGAAACAAGCATTCGTGCTTAACTGACTTACTTATTTCAAGAAAGGATCGAACGGTTTGTCTGTCGGTGTGATATTCATAGATTTAGTTAGAGCATTTGATAAGGCCTCTCACATAGGTCTTATGCAGAAGCTTCCGAGCTTCGGAATAACCGGTGCTGTACAGAAATGTATAAGTGACCTCTCCTGTCACCGAAGACGAAGAGTGTGGGGTTAAATAGGTTGATCTCTGAATAGAACCAAGTCAAAAGTAGCATAATCCAAGGCATCATCTTGAGTCCTCTACATTTCCCTACCTACGTTAATGAATTACCGTGCTTGCTTAAATTATGGACACTGCTATTCGCGGATAATGTAAAATCTGGGGAGCAATAAAGAGTGGGACTGATCGTTTTGATCTTCAAGTTGACATAGACGAATTAATTAGATTATCTCAATGTTAGGGCTTAGGATCTAATTCTAGAAAGAGTGTGCTCATGCACATCGGACACGGTAACGGTTACCACCATGCTATCAACAGTACACCTTTTCCTAGAGTGCAGGAACATAAAATCTTAGGAGAAATGTTGAGTCACGACTTGAAAATAAAAATACTCATTGCAACATAGCCGCCGCCAGAGGTTTCCGTGTGTTGTAATCACTTCACCAAACATTCAAATGCTTTGACCAGATGTTTTGAGTCTTATGCACCATCTACGTAAGACCACACATAAAGTTCTCTATCCAAACTGCTGATTCATGTCTTATTAAGGATACCTACTCACTTGAGCGTTTTAAGCGCGTGGGAAATATCAGTGAAAGCCTTTCTAAACCCCCTTATGATGGGCGCTTAAAATGCCTTATCTTTTCCCCTTATGGTCTCGTAGAACGAGAGGTGACCTTAAATTGACATTCCGTGTCTTTAGTTACGATGTGGGTGTTAATGTGGTTTATCTGTTTGCTCTTTCCAGCATTGGAACTCTTCGTGGCCATAGAAAGAAGGCTCAAAAACTGAGATCTAATAAACTCAAAGTGGGGTTCCGTTTTTCTCATCCAGTGGTCAGTGTCTGGAACACCTTACCCGAACAAATAGTATCAGTCCTATCGGGAAACACTTTCAAAGAGACCTTCACTAGAAAACAAACTGTTAGGATTATTACAAGTCCACTAACATACTATCATTATTAATGAGGACTGAAGACTGATCTCGAACACATCAGTCATACTTCGTTGTTTCAACCTTGCGCTGCGTGTAATTTTCTTCAAGGTAACTTGATCAGCAAATTGTTTGTATTTAAATCGCTATTCTTCATAAGTAGGAATGTTTTAATTCATGGTCACAAGTACATGTCTATTACTGTGAGGGTGTCTTTAGACTTCAAAGTGCACCAGTCTAAGAAACAAACATTCGACATGTTTTTGTCTGGTGATAAGTAAGAATCTGAGGTGCGTGCTTCGAAAGATTACCATCGTTGAATTGGTTCTTTATTCAGTCCGCATGCTATGCTTTTCCACTTATCACAGTTCACTTATGCCCTTCGGTGGAGTGGAAGGTTAATTTATTTGACCCTAACATGCATAAGGCAAGCAATCTATCCCAATGGACATAGTTGTGATAATTTCTTTCTTGATCAAATATTATGACTTGCATTTAAATCTTCAATTTAGATACAAGTAGTCTTTTATAATTTTGGGGTAACTAGGAACGAACAAAAGATGAATTTTTCCATTATTAACTTCTAATAATACAAACACCAGCTTTCATGTTTATGTGATGGTTAGGTTTGCATATTCTGATGACCCAGTGGATATATATACTAGACAGAATATTCATTCTTTCATGTCCTACCATACCAGACAGTTTGGTCTTTAAGTTGTAAGTTTGAAAGTAATAAACTCATGGTCTAGGATGAGTTTTTACTTCTGAATGTACAAAAGCATAACGGCAGTTAAGAGTTTTTGTGGCGATGTTTTCTCTGGATAACATAAGGAGAGCGTGGGGATGGCCTCAGAAATATCGCTGTTAAGGCCCTAAAGGTATAGTTCTAGGTCGTTCGAAACTCGATAGGGTGCCGTACATTACTGGCTTCAAGCAGTTGTCTGTTTTTCACTTCATTTGCGCTTTCTAGTCGTTTAGATCACTTTTAACCCAATCTCCTTTGTAGGTACCTCACTGAGAATTGTCCTTCGACAGTTTGGGCAACGTGCGAGTGACAGCTTTCCTCCTACAACACGTGAAATCACCTCGTTCATCATTAAGCCCTATTTTCACTACCTAGCTGAAAAAAGTTTACAGGTTACATATTTATCATATATACATCAATGGCTTCAGTGTTTGCACGTTTTCTGATTTATCAGAATTACTGTGGTCGAACCTGTTTTTTTACTATGAACGTCTGTTCAGAAGAACTCAGCCTTCAGCTTTCTTTTCTCTCATATACTTTACGAGAAACTACTTGTGACTTGGAAGAATGCCGATATTAATATTGGTCCGGCTGTTTGCTGTGACTGCGGAATAGTTGTTACTTATTACAGTGAAACAAGATTACTACACCGACTGAAGAAAGGAAAATAGTGTAAATCTAGACTTATTAACTGACGACTGATCAAAGAGACTTCAAAGCTAACAATAAGGTGTATATCATTTTAAATTTCCAGTCAATGGATAAATTTTGAACGGGCAGTGGTTAACGTGAATTAATTAACAGTTCAGTTTCTATATAACTTACAAAATGGATAAGTTTACCTACTTGACTGAGAAATATAGCTCATCACTGAGCTGTACGTTTGTTTTTTGACCCAACTTTATACATCTATTTCTGAATCCAACCACATCCTAGATTCCTCTGAACCACTTTCTAGTCTGAAGGATATATTGCCAACGTTACCCCGTTCCAAGATGTCTTTTGGAACTGAAATCTTTTCGTGCGGCTATATTCTGTAGCAGTCGTCCTCGAGGTGTAATTAGTTTACTACCAACACAGTCTTTGGTAGAAGTCTCCTATATTTCGATAACTGAGTGGTGATTATGTTAATAACATTATGAATAAATAATTGTTTTGTTTCTCCAGTCATCCTTAACAGTCATGCGATCCCCCGTATCACGAAAACTTTTGTGACGTAGTACACTGTACCACGGATACTTCTAACAATAATAGTGGTGTTTATCGATAATTGTGCTCAATTAACACCTGAGAACCGTAAAAATTGACTGGTCTAGTTAAGTTCTATTGAAACATTCATAATTCACTGTGCTCATTAATCACTAATTATGTTGTGAACGAAACCATTCCCAAACCGTTGCTGCTAATGTAATTCCATTTTATCTAAATTACTCAGTCTTTAATGGAACACAATACCTTACGCAATGTGTCAAGAGCGGAAAACTGAGAAAGGTTTGGACAATCAAATGTCCCAAGTCTTAATATTGGATTGCTGACGAATGTCGATTTACACAAAAACTAAGTTAGAGGGGATACTGCTGATTGTTTCTAATCATTGAACATCAAAAGAAGTGCGATACGATATCGGGTCTCTAAGACTTTGTTACCTAAATGCGAATCTGTGTAAATTACGGGACATTTTCATCAGAAAATGTCAAGTTTCGTAAAATTAAGTTCAATAGTGGATGAGCAAATGGATTGTAACACACACCCTGATAATATAGACTGTTTCGGGAGATAATAAGAACAAATAATCTGTGAGTAAATTATAAGAGTCCAGACACGTGGTTATCACATCAACTATATATGCCTAACCTAGGGAATACTAAATATCCAAAGTTTCCAAGCTGATCCCCATCGTTATGAGAACACTTACACTGATTGATAACTATGAATGAATTATTGTTATGCATTTCTAGTCCCCTGCACTGATTAGGTTATATTGCTCGAGTTTTTTGTGTTTAGCAGCCGCCAAATGGTACAGTCGAAAGTGGGGAAAGTCATTTCTCTCTCTCGAAATGCTCTCACATGACCACTTGTCAAGGAAGTCATACTCACTACATTCTCGCGGCGGGGGTGTTGTTTACAAAATTGAGAGGACGAAAAGCGAATGTTCGGTGCTTTAACCGGATCGGTGGACACGGAGAGTCCACCTAGGGGAATTGATGAACCCTGATTCCAAACCAATGGTGCACATGGGTTCTGAGGTCCTGAGGGAACAAATGACGTCATCAGCTGCCATGGGACTGCATCCCCTAACGTTCCCCACCATCTTGTGGTTTAGACCTCTAGGTCAAATGTTCGAGGAGTGGCTCCTTAAGAAAACCATTTGCTATGGTTTGGGCACCCTAGAAATATTCAATCCCTCACACAAATCGAATGGCGAAGTGTAGCGCATATATATTTGATGCTTTCTTGTACCGATGTTTATGTGTTAGAATAAAATAAATATTTTGAAATGCCAGATTATTTACAACTGGTATTGTTCATATTTGCATACTTAGGTTTTTGTAATCGTCACTTGAATTCTCTATATATTACATGCAAATACGGAATGAGTGTGGCCAAGAATTCACTGGATAACAAGGGAAATTCCAATGATGCTATCGATTGGGATGTATGCCTACTTTTTATTCGGTTGTGTCATGCATTTTAGGATATGGTTTATCATCCAGCATTCGGAGCAGATATTGATCCCAAAGCAGGCTTACATCCAGCTACTGAAGCTTTGCAAGCACTGAAATATGAATCAGAAGATCCAGATGGTAAGTTCACGTACCATACTGACTAGTTTTTTTAATAATTAGCTAATGCTCGTAGTTACAAAGAAGAAGGAAATTATTATTATAAGGGGAAAGACTTTTCTAAAGCGATATTGTCTTATACAGGTGGCCTACGTGCAAAGTCATCAGATCGTAAATTAAATGCAATACTATATACCAATAGAGCAGTATGCCATTTCTATCTAAGTAAGCGTTATCTTCAAAATCATCATTCTTATTCTTTAGAGAATTACCGATCATGTATTCGTGATTGTAAGTCTGCTGTCAGTTTGTCACCGGATTATGTTAAAGCTTATGTAAAAGGTTTAGAGTTTTTTTAATACTAAAACTTCATTTTAGGAATTGAGGCTTGCCTAGCACTTTCAAAAATTGATGAAGCTTTAGAATTGTCATCAACCGGCTTAAATATACTGCCTTCTTCTCCTGAATTACTTGAAGTACAGTATAAGGTTCTTAAAAAGCAAATGGAATTAGATAAGGAGGTTGAACAGCGATCAAAATTGGATTGTAGAAAAGAAAATGATATGAATACTGAATATGAGATTTTAAAGGTAATTAACCGATTTTTATTGTTAATTGACAATATAGAACTTCGCATTTTATCACATGTTTGGTCGTAGTTCAATTTTGATAGTGTTCAGAAATAGACAACTTGGTACTTCGTTATTTAAATATATTCAGAATCCCTTCCCATCAAGTCATTTTCTTTTTTGATATCCTAACTGTATTCATGAAACTTCGCTGGAAATGTGTAGTTTGACTGCATAGTAATTTACTTGTTCTGCATTTTATGGTCTCAGTTTACTTATTACGGGCTTCTAAGCGTTTTTTATTCGGCTATCTATTACATTTTGGTTTTGTGCAATCACGAAAAGATCATGACTCATACTACTTATCTTGGAAACTTACAATCCCCGGTCGTCAAGACTCTTTAGTCCTCTCACAGAAATAACACAAGTTAGGCCTGATAATTGAACCATAAGATATTTAGGAGGGTAGGTCAATTATGTCTGCCAACCTCATTGTACTAAACCCCAGCTCTGAAAAATGGTCTTCTACGTAAGGAGTATTTTCTTCATAATATTGTTTTAAAAAACTGCCATAGTGATTGGCGAGAGTTTAACTAGCAAATAGTTTTCAAAATTGAAGGCTATAACTTAATATTATGATATTATTATTTTATAACAGTTGAAAAAAAATACAGAAAAATATGACGTTAGTGTTTATCGAAATCCACTGTTGACTGCAGTACGTAGAATGTGTAATTTTTCCTGAGTTTAATGAGTCCTCCAACATGTGGTCAAGAAACTATCTTCTGATTTGTACCCTGATAGTCTGCAAATTCCATGAGTTCCCCTAAATGCTACACTTACAGCTTTTAGTTTTCCGAAACTTGACATTCATATCTTATCACTTTTACACTATCTAGTCACGTGGAATTGATGTTAATCTCAAATTAAAACCTATTGATATGCCAGAAGTGGGTTGTTCCACATTTTATGTGGATTCATCGGGTAAATTTCACTGGCCTATTCTTTTTATGTATCCTGAATTCGGACAAACTGATTTCCTCCGTGATGTAATTGAATCAAGCATGTAGGTTTTCTGTATTGTACGGTTTTATATTTTTCTAGTGTTACATCCACTTCATTTTTGTTTCAATGAAAATAGATATAAGTTAAATCGCTATTAGGAATTATTCAGTCACTAAACCATAGGAGTACCGTTGTGTCCTCGAGATTTTTTAACTGTACAGTTAATACATTAACCTTACACTTGCTAGCCTTTTCCATCACTCAACTTCAGGTCATTTAGTTACAGAGTATACACTCCCATGCAAAACTTTGAACTAGATATATTATCAGTCCGTTCGACGCAAAATAAGTGGATTGACGTTGAAACTTACCTTCCATTGTACAGAATTTGAATATTTAAACTACTAAGTTAGAACTTCATAATTTTTATTGTAACGAATGCATTTTATAATCCTAACAAAATCCTGATGTGAAATAACTTCACACATGTTTTATATTATAAGCTGCTATATTTTTACACTATAGTCCAATAGATTGGATAGTTTTTACGAACTCAAACTAGTGTTTCTCATTACAGGGAATTATAGTTTTGTACACACCACTTTTTAATAGATTTTTGTTTTGTTCTAGCGAACTCATTTATCGCATAGTTACTGGTTGTCCGCACTTCTAATAAAATAATAATAAAGATTATGCTATATGAAACACATCCGTATAAATTTCCCAGCGCTTGACTTGATGAGAAAAGAATATTAGTCTCAAAATCGGTTTATCAAAAAGAGTAATTTTTTTCATTCACAGCCAGAAAGTGATTTTTAAAAAATATGTTGCTGAACTATAAAATGACTGACTGTAGTAATAAACCTTGGGACCATGAAAGCGGGGTTTACAAAATATAATACTCTTAAAAATCAATAACAGCGGTAGAAAAGGCATCTGGTCATCAATCTCACTCCCCACATTTTTGGTTTGAAACTAACAGTTTAGATATGAATTTACATAAAAATGTTTGTTTAAAATATGAGTTACTCGTGAGTAGTTGAATGATGCAAAGTAAGGATCGCTTTTACAATTTTTATTCAGGATCATTGATTGTTTAAAGTTAGTTTTTGATGTGAATCAGCCTCCTCCACCGTGGGATCCGAAGCGCCTATACTCCCTTGAAGATGATGCTATAGAGGTATTATTTTTAATCATAATATAAGTGTTATATTTTCTAAAGTGTTATCTTTTAGATTAACATTTCAGTCTATATTCCTTTTATTTGTTGTCCAGTATTGTTGACACTACTTTTATTGTTAAGACTCTTTAAATGTCCTCTACTTAAGCTAATGAGAAATGTGTCGACTTGTGCCGAATAACATTTATACCAACTCTTGCGTTAATAGATGTTTGGAATTGAGCTCTATTCTGTGATATTCTAGTATACGTAATGATGGGAGAATTCCAATGCTTCATATGCCTATCCATCATGTAAATTTACTACCAGTGAAGTTTGATGATTCTTCATTTAAGAAAAGAATTCTAACAAATTAAAAGCATAAACAAATCCGTGGTCTTCAACCATATTTTATGTGAAACATCAAGTGCTAACTTGGGAATTCAATGTACATGTTTCAGATTTGGTTGCAGAGAAAAGGTTTATAAACACATCACGTGGAACGTTTGCTACAAGTTGGAGATGGTATGCTCTGGGATTTCCTTAAAATTCAAACTTCCCTTGCATAAATTTTCAACAGAATACTAGATTTACTCTTTTGTAACAAATGTTATGATTACTAATTACAGAGTATCTGCTCTAAAGTGCGTGTTAGTAAAGTAATATCCCCCACAATTTTGAAGTCAAAAGGTTTTACTCTAAAATCACCTACATCATAATGTTAACAAAAAAGCTAAAGAAGAAGCCAGACAATGCATAGCTCTGTTTAATTCCACTGTTAATGTAAAGAAAATGAATAATCGTTTTTTCCCTACTCATATGTTCTGCTGCCAGATTTCCAGAACGTTAGTTTTAGATGCATAAATTCATAGAAGTCCTGTTTAAGTAGTCTAGAACATTCGTAATACCAATAATAATTCCAATGACCGAATTGCGTTTGTTAATTTTGAACTAGGGACATTAATGATTCCTGTGAGATCGTTGCTTAAATACCTCCCGGGGACTTATTAGGTATATGTAGTCAAAATGCCCGAAGTTTTATTTTGAAGAACCTCCTGAAGATTCAGATTGTCAGTAAATGTTGGAGTGACTGAATTTACTGTATTTTTGTGAAGTGCTGTGATAAGTCTTAACTATAACAACACCACTTAGAGGTTTCGTAATTTACACCTATTTAATCCAATCGACATCTTAGCCATTTATTCAAATCCTAGTCCACACCGTTATAAATTGAAAATTATGGTTTTTATAACCCATACTACCTAAACGCGCAAACTGATGTACATGGAGTCAGGGTCAGTTGCCTTCTAATGACCAGTATGCGCCTTTTAAAACTTATTTCGTTTTCGTTCCCTAGCCAAGTTCATTCGTTTGACAATTTTAGGATTGAAGATTTTCTTTCCTTACTATTCACCCAGGTTTATTTTGAACATGATATAATGAAAAAGTTTATTCTTTGTTCACCGCAATGTACAATCAAAAAACTAACTAAACAAAATGGGTAAGTGTTTTCCCCAATAATTATGATCGTGGCAGTTTATTCATCATTTATAAGGTATGATTATAAAAATGTTTATTCAAGAACTGTATAAATTATAGTCTGGTGGCTACGTGAGTTAAACAGTAAACTCTCAGCCACTGCGTCTGAATCTCATTGCATTTACTTCAGTCCAGTATCATCGTCCTATTCCTATACAAGAACAACGTATAACAATTACGTTATGAAAGAAATTATAACAGTTTGCAGTGTTAACTAGTTATTTTCATAACGCGGTCTTTACTTACCTATATCTACAGAATAAAATTTACTCAGATTGTAGTTAGCTAGTTCGTCAACTGAAAAATAAGTCATCAGTAGGTAAATTGTCCTTCAGCGAAATTAACGAGTTGTTCTAGCAGTGCTCATTGTTAGTGTTGCGGTTATTTGATTCAGCGAAAAGTCTACTACCGTATGTTTTAAAAATAATTGTTTCTGAAATCACTACATAAATCTTCCTAATTCTGGACGGATTGGGCGATTTATCGCTTTATAAAACTAATTTTCCATTCCTGGTCTTCAAGCCCATGTCAAACAACTTGATGTATACACACGGGTTTTTAAATATACTATTTATAGCAGTAGTCAATAATCTCTTCAGTGTTCATTCATTTAAGTTGTGTTGATATTTTCTATTGTTTGGAAATCTCGTGTAAAAGCTACATAAATCGATGAGATTATCAACAAGATTTGTTAATTTTGCGTATTCGATAAATTACGATATCTTTGTCAATATAGTTAACTAATTGTCGTAGACGACTCTCGCTTTCCAACAAACAAATGTACGTGTACTGTCCTCGGGAATATTCCAATTTCAATTCATCCCTTAGATAAATATATATATACTTTAACTTTGGTGGTTTTATGGGGTGGGGCCAATTTCATTTTAATCACCAATCGATGACATGTATACTGAATGCCTCATGTTCTTAATTAATTAACGAATGTACTTTAATTTCCCATGAAAACTGTCTTTTAAGTAATTACATTTTAACTAATTTATTTTTGAATATTGGTGTTTCATTCTTCTGTCTACTGCTAAATTTTGTTATCAACAAATTATCATTTTGCTTTTGTCCTTTTGTGTAGATTTAGTGTCGGCAGAGATCTACTCATTATTTTACATGTGATATCTAAACGATCAACACATTTCTATAGTAGTTGGAAAGACGAGAAAATTTAACTTGATTGACTGTCTAGCTTTACGCGTTATTTGTAGGAATTATCCCTGCTTTTTTAAATACTGGATAAAATAAAACCCCATTTTAGAAGAAAAACTTTATCTATTTTTCCTCTGTCTTGTCTTTGTTCAGAGCTTTTGGCTTATGATCAAAGTAAAGATTTCCAAAAAATAACTAGATTTATAATGAATTTAAGAACGTATCACTGAGATACAACTCAACATTTTACAGAATAATGCGCTTAATATGACGGGTGTGTAAGACGGATTTTATAATCAGTTATTAATATATATATATATATTATTTTGGCCATGGTAGGTTATAAAAAGTGACCAACGGATGTCCGCAATGTAAATCTTGCCCTGATCGGCTTTTTTACGAGACATCTGGGATCCTGAGGCAAACGATGCTTCCTTTGGTAGTTGAGCCCACTTCAGCATTGAGTACCAAACATGATAAAGACCGGTAATCTAGTCATATGATGTACCTCACTATATGTACATTACAAATGCATCAATTTCCAAATAAGCAGCAGTCGACTAAAAAAAATAACCAAGATAGTATGGTTCCTTTAGATAGCAAGTAAATGCTGGATATAAACATTTTTAGTTTGCTCGCCCTATATTGAACAATTCAGAATGGTGTTTTATTACTTATTTAAATACATAAACGTTGATACAAGAAAGCATCAAATATATATGCGCTACACTTCGCCATTCGATTTGTGTGAGGGATTGAATATTTCTAGGGTGCCCAAACCATAGCAAATGGTTTTCTTAAGGAGCCACTCCTCGAACATTTGACCTAGAGGTCTAAACCACAAGATGGTGGGGAACGTTAGGGGATGCAGTCCCATGGCAGCTGATGACGTCATTTGTTCCCTCAGGACCTCAGAACCCATGTGCACCATTGGTTTGGAATCAGGGTTCATCAATTCCCCTAGGTGGACTCTCCGTGTCCACCGATCCGGTTAAAGCACCGAACATTCGCTTTTCGTCCTCTCAATTTTGTAAACAACACCCCCGCCGCGAGAATGTAGTGAGTATGACTTCCTTGACAAGTGGTCATGTGAGAGCATTTCGAGAGAGAGAAATGACTTTCCCCACTTTCGACTGTACCATTTGGCGGCTGCTAAACACAAAAAACTCGAGCAATATAACCTAATCAGTGCAGGGGACTAGAAATGCATAACAATAATTCATTCATAGTTATCAATCAGTGTAAGTGTTCTCATAACGATGGGGATCAGCTTGGAAACTTTGGATATTTAGTATTCCCTAGGTTAGGCATATATAGTTGATGTGATAACCACGTGTCTGGACTCTTATAATTTACTCACAGATTATTTGTTCTTATTATCTCCCGAAACAGTCTATATTATCAGGGTGTGTGTTACAATCCATTTGCTCATCCACTATTGAACTTAATTTTACGAAACTTGACATTTTCTGATGAAAATGTCCCGTAATTTACACAGATTCGCATTTAGGTAACAAAGTCTTAGAGACCCGATATCGTATCGCACTTCTTTTGATGTTCAATGATTAGAAACAATCAGCAGTATCCCCTCTAACTTAGTTTTTGTGTAAATCGACATTCGTCAGCAATCCAATATTAAGACTTGGGACATTTGATTGTCCAAACCTTTCTCAGTTTTCCGCTCTTGACACATTGCGTAAGGTATTGTGTTCCATTAAAGACTGAGTAATTTAGATAAAATGGAATTACATTAGCAGCAACGGTTTGGGAATGGTTTCGGCCCATGCTCCACTGGGAGTAACAGGCGTAAGGAAGTAAGTAATTCTTTTATTGTTAAAAGATATCGTTAATTTAAACAGATGTATACTGTCCGGAGGGTTAAGTATTAATAATAGGGAGCTACAAAAATTACGCCGTATTTATATAATTTAGTCTTGAGAACAATCTACTAGATAAATGAATGTATGGTATGTTGGGTTTAAAAATAAAACCATGTACAAATAACAAATTTAGAGAAATTAAAAACGGATAATAATTTTCCATATATATAAGAATGATATGTATGCATGAGTAAATCATCAACGCTAACTTGATAAAAAAGTGGAATGAGATAATGGAAAAAATATTCAAAGAGAAAAACAGTAATCATAATAAGCATAAAATAATATGTAAAGGACAATAAATGTATAGTGGGTGGTACAATAAGTGTGCGTGTGTATACTACGTATGAATGGATAAGTGCGAAAAAAAGTCTCAAATATTGTTTGAATAATTGTTATGTAAATCACAGAGGGTAAAATATTTTAAAAAACCTGTTAACAATCACATAACAAATAAAAACTGTGGAAAGGATCAAATATGTTTTCAAAAAAATGGAAGCCCCACGCTGAGTATGTATAATAGAAGAGAACGACGACCAGATAATAAAGTTTGTTACATGGTGGGTTTTCTTCTAATTATAACATGCCTTCTACGTTTCCTGATTGTCTTCGATGCTGAAATATATACAAGAAAATACGCTAACAATGTATAATACCAACATCTTAAAAGAATGATAACTGAATTAATTATTCGTCCTGATATTTTCAGAACACAGCCCACCATAAAAATTACCTCATAATATCATGCCGGTAATCCTATTCAGGGTGATGTAAGCAAAAATTAGTGGTATTTGTATTAATTATAAAACAAACCAGCTGACGTTATATAGAAAACACAAAGTAAAAAGATCTAAATGGATTAACCCAACGATCAATACAAGAGAACATACATGATTAATCAGTTTGCCAGCTATTGCAAGACTATAAAGTACTGGATGACTGCTTTTGCTTAAAGCTTACACCAACTTGCTCATTATTGGCTACATTGAAAATCGAAATAAAAAATTTACTGACACTATTTAACTTTATGATGTGTTTAGATTTTGTATACGATTAAAGTTATAATAAAGTACGTAATTATAGAATACTGGTTTTAGTATTACATCACTTTGCAGTAGTAAGAAGTATCGCCAATTTTAAGTATAATTACTACGGTTTGGATTGGTAAATGAAAAAAATCGAGTATCTGGAAGATATATATATAATCACATTAAATTAATTCAAGTTTAAGGTTTCCATTTATATGAGGTTCGAAAAACTGCGAACATCGAATTATCCTAAACACAGCAAAAGATATCTCCTTGATTCACTTTAATCATCATCGAAACATATCATAAGACTAAGACGAGGCTAACATCTTAGATAGAACTCGTGTGATGAAAATGTGAGTGTAGAAGGGAGCAAGCATCAACTGCTAAGTATACTCAGGAGAAATAAGCCTGAATCCCATAGCCAATACTCGTGAGTTTAAACATTTACCTGGTTTCGATCCATCAAATGAATTAACAAACCAATAAATCAGAAAAAAGTAATATAATTGTAATGAGCTGTGTAAACCAGCATTATTATTATCGAAGCAAAAATGTATTGTACCATGCACAAATAATAAACACCGCCTTTACTCTAAACTCACTGATCGTCCGGAATGTCTAGGTCTATTATGATTAGATACTGCACTGTAATGATCGGTCTGTAATTGTTTTCGATGTTTAGAACTGGATTTGTATTGATTATGATCAGCCTTATCTTCAGTGAGCGTTACAGTTTGTTCATCATCATTCTCTTCTGAATGATATTGTTGTTTCTTCTTAAAATGAGGGGAATTCAAAGGGCGCAGTTGATCAGATCGTTTCAACCTATCTACTTCCTGATTATGGTGATTATTAGGAAGCATTACACCTCCGAATACTGGCACACCACCTACAGGAGGCTTATGACTAGATGACAAATTGCTTATTCTCGTATTCGGATCATAAGTGTAATTATCTTTTTGTTGGACATTATTCGTTGATGACTCATCATGATGCTTCTTACGACGATGTGTTTTAGTATTTGCATATATAGGAGAATTTGGTCTACGCTCATTTATGGAATTTGATATCTCAGAAGGATGTCTACCTTTACGATCGTTTTGACCATGTTGAATAATAGGATAATCACTTGATTGAGATCCACCTGTAACAGACAACACTTCGTCTGGTTTACCTTTTCCAGAGTGTCGATAATTTACATAATCATTATAAGGAGCTTCATTATCATAACTTTCGTTTACAGACCCATATGATAAAATATTTGAAACACCATCACTATATTGTTTACTCATTTGAGACTGTACATCTTGTACTTCAGACACAACAGACTCAGAATATGGATGATGTCGTGGAACAGTTCCGTATAATTGCGTTGCATTACTATTCCCATTTACCTAAAATGATACGCAACAGATATATACATAATGCTTAAGCATAAAAAACTGGTATGTAAAAGACAATTACACTGTAACAAACTATTTGTTGGCTGTAGGTTTTGTAGATTGAATCAGAAAATTTCGCAAGAAATCTGGGATTTGAAAGTATACAACACGAATATCTGTAATAATCAATCAAAGGTAGGGATTAAATAGAGACAAAACCGGAGAATACATACTTACTCAAACGAGTAATCTTAGTAAAATTAGTTTCATAATACAATGTATCTTTCGGTGGAAATAGGTTACATAAGAAAAACAATTACGTTAATAAAATATGGCAAAGGCTGTCAACAAATGCCTATTTAGAAATCAAGCAATTCACACAGATACACAAATTCTCATACGCGCAATCAATAAACTGACTACGGGAAAAAGGTAAACAACATGGAATGAAGAATAGAAATAAATTTAAATTTACCAATTTTCTTGAAGTAGATTATTCTAAACCATATAAATGAGAACAAAGTCATAAAACTCCAAAAGACAAGTTGCCTTATTTTCTATCATCCATATATTTTCATTAAATAATGCAACTCAGTTACCAAGTTGCCAGGTTTATGTGTACTGATTTTTGAGCCATTAACCTACTTTTCTACTGACGAATATATAACACTCGCATTGCAACTAACAATTTTAACTGCTAAAAAGACACTATAATAGTAAGTGTTAGTATCTGTGTAACTTGATAAATGGTTAATACTTACTTCAATGCTCAACGGTGATGATCCAAAGTAATGTCACCATCATCAGATGATTTGACGTGTATT